TCGCCCCCTCGGAAGTCGTTTGAAAGGCAAGTTCAAGGCATTGTACAATCGACTCTCAGAGTCTCGCCGCCCATTCAATGAGAATCTTTCAACTGGTTTAAGGTTAGGGTTCACTTCCATATCTGCGCATATCATGCTCACGAGATCTTTACAAGGAGTCCTGAGGTTACAGAAGGCACAGCTCTGGTACATGTCTACACTTTGAGTCAAATAGATTCTTCTGCTTATATTTCATGGGACACCAGAATGTATTTCAGGGAGCTCACAACTTCATTATCAAGGATTCCAACTTCTATAGTGCCCAAAATGTATGTTCTGTTATGATGGTAGTGATCATTGAGATATTGATCCTTTTTTTTTTTTTCAAGATGGAGTTTAACCAACAAAGCAGCAGCATTCAGAATGATACACTTTCCATTCCCCAGAAACCAAATTCAAGTGCTCTATTTACAGGTCGTGAAGACATTATCAAGAAACTGAAGAATCACTTTGCAGCTTCAGATCAGGGGAATACACTGAGGAAATCTTTTCTACTATATGGTATGGGAGGCATTGGAAAGACTCAAATTTGTTTGAAGTTTGTGGAAGAGATGGCTGACAGGTATTTGCTCTTGATCTATTAGCTTTTGAGGTCTTTGAAGAACATTTCTAGATTCTCCCATGTCTTTTGGATTGATGCATCTTCTGAAGATACAATTACTCTGGGTCTGAAGGGTCTTTGCTTCCATCCTGATGCTAAAGTTGCTGTTAGTTTGAGCTCTGTGTCCTCTCAGTCTGCTCTTGCATGGATCTCTTCACTGCAGAGTGATTGGCTTCTAGTGTTTGATAATGCTGATGGTGCACCTGAAGTTGTAGAGAAATTTATTCCATCTGGGTCTCAGGGAAATATTGTGGTCACAAGTAGAAATAGATCTCTTGGACGTGTTACAACTTATCAGAATTCTCTGGAGGTTTGCCAAATGGCAGAGAATGAAGCTATCTTGCTTCTTCTGAAAGCTAGCCACCTCACTGGAGCATCTGGAAATATCTATAATCTAGCACAAAGTATTGTCAATGAGCTCTGCTGTTTACCTCTGGCAGTTGATCAAGCTGGGGCTGCCATTGAAGCTGGTCTCTGCAGTATTGATAATTATCTTCAGAATCTTTCTCAGCATCGAATGAGACTTATGAATGATTCTAACTTCAAAGGAGCATCTCAATATAACCGTACAGTCTATCAAACCTGGGACTTGTCATTTTGTGAAATTGAATCTAGGGCAAGAAGAAAGACAAGCAGCAAAGATGGAGAGGCTGCCCATGCAGCTATTCTTATTCTTCAAACTGCTGCCTTTTTTCATTATGAAAATATATTTGAGGCTATATTCAGAAAAGCTTCCACTTCATTCAGTTCAGAACAATATGAAAAGCTGGATGAAAAGGTTATAAAGAGCATCACTGACTTGCTTCAGCTTGGAGAGGATCAATGCTGGAATGAAATAATCTTTCATGAAGGAATTAGGGTTCTCAGATCATTCTCATTGATCAAAGAAGGCTCATCTTCTGGTATCTATACTGTCCATCCTTTGATGCATCAGTGGAATAGAGATAGAATGGCCATATCAGAAAAACAAGTTATGCATAAAGTAGCCAAATTGATACTTGTGCACTCTATTCCAATAGGTGGTGCAGCTGAAGACTTTGCATTTCGAAGGCTTCTGTTAGTGCACATCAAGGCCAATTATCAGTTTCAACAGCAAAACTACATCAAAAAAGAATTTGATGAGCTTGAATATATCAGATTCAGTGATGTAATGCAAGAAAATGGCCTGTGGAAAGATGCAGAGGACCTTCAATATCAACTTATGAAGATAAGAAAAGAAAAATTTGGAGAAACACATCAATTAACACTAGTCAGCATGACAAATCTTGCATCAACCTTTGCATGTCAAGGAAAAATTGAGGATGCTGAGAAGTTGAGGATGCAAGTTTATGAATCTGAGTATAAAGCTGCTGGGGCCAGAACATCCAGACACACTAACAGCATGCACAATCTTGCATTAACTTTTTCAAATCAAGGACAATTTGGGGAAGCTGAGAGGTTGCAGATGCAAGTTTTGAATCTGTGTACAAAGCTGCTGGGGCCAGAACATCCACATACACTGAACAGCATGAACAATCTTGCATTAACTTTTCATATCAAGGACAATTTGAGGAAGCTAAGAAGTTGCAGATGCAAGTTTTGAATCTGTGTACAAAGCTGCTGGGGCCAGAACATCCACAAACACTAACCAGCATGAACAATCTTGCATTAACTTTCTCATATCAAGGACAATTTGAGGAAGCTAAGAAGTTGCAGATGCAAGTTTTGAATCTGTGTACAAAGCTGCTGGGGCCAGAACATCCACATACACTAACAGCATGAACAATCTTGCATCAACTTTGCATATCAAGGAAAATTTGAGGAAGCTGAGAAGTTGCAGATGCAAGTTTTGAATCTGCGTACAAAGCTGCTGGGGCCAGAACATCCAGATACACTAACCAGCATGAACAATCTTGCATTAACTTTTCATATCAAGGAAATTTGAGGAAGCTAAGAAGTTGCAGATGCAAGTTTTGAATCTGTAGACAAAGCTGCTGGGGCCAGAACATCCACATACACTAACCAGCATGAACAATCTTGCATCAACTTTTTCAAATCAAGAACAATTTGAGGAAGCTGAGAAGTTGCAGATGCAAGTATTGAATCTGCGTACAAAGCTGCTGGGGCCAGAACATCCACATACACTAACCAGCATGAACAATCTTGCATTAACTTTCATATCAAGGACAATTTGAGGAAGCTAAGAAGTTGCAGATGCAAGTTTTGAATCTGCGTACAAAGCTGCTGGGGCCAGAACATCCACATACACTAACCAGCATGAACAATCTTGCATTAACTTTCTCAAATCAAGGACAATTTGAGGAAGCTAAGAAGTTGCAGATGCAAGTTTTGAATCTGCGTACAAAGCTGCTGGGGCCAGAACATCCACATACACTAACAGCATGAACAATCTTGCATCAACTTTTTGCAAATCAAGAACAATTTGAGGAAGCTGAGAAGTTGCAGGTGCAAGTTTTGAATCTGCGTACAAAGCTGCTGGGGCCAGAACATCCAGATACACTAGCCAGCATGAACAATCTTGCATTAACTTTCTTAGGTCAGGGACAGTTTGAGGAAGCTGAGAAGTTGCAGGTGCAAGTTCTGAATCTGCATACAAAGCTGCTGGGGCCAGAACATACAAAAACCCTGATTAGCAGGAACAATCTTGCATCAACTCTTGCAAATCAAGGAAAATTTGAGGAAGCTGAGAAGTTGAAGATGCAAGTTTTGAATCTACATATTCAGCAACCTCTCCAACCTGACTTGGATAAATACAGCCAAGGAAAAGTTGAATGATTGTTGTTTGGGGTTTTATTTTAGGAAGGAGGGGGAAGGAATGATAATGTACAAACATATGTATGCAGTGTTATGGTAGAAAATTGGAGCTGAATGACATGGGCACTAACAGGCATTTTAAAGCAAATGTATGTGTTGCAAAGTAATGTACCTGGGTGGAAACCCTGGGCTATGGGTTATGAGAGGTTATGGGCTGATAGAGGTATGTCCAAAATGAATTCTGTGACCTTGGTTAAAGTAGTTACAAAGCAAAAGAAATGGGGTCACATTACACACCCCATACCCTCAGGAGATACCTCAAATGAGAGACAATCAGCCTCAGTCAGGCATGTAAGCAAAGAATTTTACCATGAGACAGACCAGATGTAAGATTTATAGTCTGACAACCAGTCATGCAAAGGGCCAAATCTTATTGTCACATTTTAAAATTTTCACCAAAATTCACTAAAATTGTGTTTGATTCCTTTGGCTTGACAAAGGAGCTTAATATGCTACACTGTTGCAAACATATTCTTAAATAACTTGCTGCCATGATTTTAAGGTGGTAGGTGCAGTGTGGTGAGGTGGGGCTTGGACTTGGGCCAGTGATCACATCTTTCACCTATACAATGTGAAGCAGACAGGAAAAAAATGGTAGGAAACAAATTTCTATTCAATTTTTATATAGACATAATGGTGCTCAAAGTACTTTACCTTGGCAGGTTTCCAAACATTTGCCGACTCCCGAACGATGTTGGACATTCATTTCAGCATGAACCTAATTAAACAACTCACCATGAGTTCTATTCATGGACCTTGGCCACACGACCGAGCATTTTGGAGTATCGCGGTGTCTCGCAAAACCACCTTTGCTTTCTCGATATCATACAGTCATCCACCCCTTAATGATACGCCACCCCCATTTGATACACTTTTGACTAGCCAATATCTCACTCAATACTAGACTGATTTTTATGAAACAAGTTGTAACAAGTAGTACAAACTCATATCTACCACCGTACATAATTTGGATGCAATTGAGGCAGAATTGGCAAAGCTGTGGAGCATACAAAATAGACTGTTTTTCAGAAATAGCCAAATACAGTCACACCCCTCAATGATACACCCATAATCTTAATTTTTCTTTGTGAAATGTGGGTCAAACATTCTGAAATTTGGTACAGTGATAGACGGGAATTTATCTGAGATTTTCATGTAGTTTTTGTAGAGAAAGGTTGTGCTCAAATCTGTTGAAGCTAATTTCTCATTTTGGGTGTATCATTAGCAGGTAGATGACTGTATATATATTTGCCATCTTCGTCATTCTTGCCGAGGCGCACGATCTCAACTCAAGAAATCTGTACGAGTGAGCGTCGGCTCAAAGTACCGCCGTCGAGATTAAGCAGCCTATCTAATCCGCGGAACCTTCGTTCGCTCTCCACCCATCCCTTTTATCATCAATGGTGGCTTACAGCGCGTGGCCTGACACCATCACGTGTGCATTGTCCTTTGATGTACAAAGAAGGCACAACACGTTGAAATTGAACATTGTCAATGTTCTCTTTTTAACAAATGGTATAACCTTTCCTTTCCTATCCTCAGCAATATGGTGAGCACCCTCTTCATTACTCTCTCCGTATCTCTAACAGTTCCCCCCGCATCAGGCAACTTACGGTCGCAACAGACAATCCATCGCCACCATCGACGACCAGCTCCGCACAATCTTCCTCGACCACCCAAAGTCCCACATAAACGATTCCGGAGAACCAGCTATACCCGCAGACGCCCTCGTCGACATATTCCGCTCCTTCTCAGATGTATCCAACTCACCCTTACTCTCAGAGGAAGAACTCACGCTACTCAAGTCACTCCTGGCGGACAACCCAGGACTCGAAGTCACCCCACAAATTCTCCTGCAATTCATAGCGGAGAAGACGAGGGCGAGTCCACCGCGCAGCCCGAACAGCGATGACGACATGCAGCTGCTGCCCACGAGGGGACGAGGCGAGGAGAGGGATGACTATAGCCATTATCATCGGTCCTCGAGCAACGAGTCGAATGGGACGTCGTATTACCGTTCATCGGGGAGCAGACCCTCTTCGCGTGGTCCGCAAACACCAAACAACCCAAAGTCGCCGTTTGATACTGAGAGAAGACAGCGCTCGACACCTCTAGCTAATAACGCCCCTTCAAGCTGGTCAAAAAGGCCTGCACCGGCGCATAGAAGGAAAAGCGACGCAGGGAGCCGGAGTGATTCCGAGGTGCCCCATTTTTTTCCTGTTACTCTTCACGACGCGCCCACTCACCCAATTATTGTTACAGTCCGTCGGCCCACCAAGCTCATTCAACAGAAGTACCAGCGGACGCGTTCGCGCACCATCAAACCCCACTTCACCCTCCACATCATCCAACGACCTAAGCAGAAGCTTCTCCCCGATCGGTTCGCCTCCATACAACAGCGGACGGACCTTCTCCCGGCCCCACTCCCGTGCCCAATCCCAGCCGATCAATAACTATGGATACGACGAGCACGGGTACTCTTCGCCCGACGACAACAACCACACCCTCAACGCCTCCCGTTCAAATCCAAGCGGCCTATTCATCGACTCCATCTCTTCCCTTCCCATGCCTCGTGCAAATCGGAACGGGAACGGGAATGGGAATGGAGACGACTCGGACTCAGATCCGGAGGATTCGCTGTTAGGTCTTGTAATGGACCGTTCGACGACGAGCTCGACGGTGTCGTTGGAGCCTTTGGATCGACTCGACGCGCTGCAGAGGGCGAATGCGGATTTGAATAGGAAGTGTATGGAAGCTGAACGGACGTTGCAGCATAAACTTTCTGAACATGAGCTTGAGCTTGAGGAGATGCAGAGTCGGCTTGAGGAAGTTAGGAGTGAGTTGGCGCATACGAAGAGGGAGGAGAAGGAGTTGAGGTCGAAGGATGTATGTTTTCTTTTTTTCTGCTTTTTTTCGCGAGGAAAAGGTGGCTGATGGGGTTTATTTTTTTGTAGCGCTTGAACACGACGCAGATCAGCAGCATGGAGCAAGAGATATCAAGGCTTAACAAGCAACTGGAACATTCCCGCTCAACTTATTCTAGTTTAAACAAGCAGTACCAAGATCAATGTGGTACGTCCCTCTCCCCCTCCCCCGCTCCCCTTCTTCCTTACTAACTTACCCTCCCCTCCCCTGACAGCCGCATCCGAGAAATACAGAGATGAACTCCGTACACGAGAAGAACAACTGCGCACGCTAAAAGAATCCGCCGCCTTACAAGAAGTAGAAGCGCTCAAATACGCCAAAGAGCACGAAAACTACGAAGCGCGGATCTTACAACTCGAAGCTGATTTATCCATTGCACAACAGGCGCATGAACAACTGGATGAGCAGAAGCATGAGAATATGTTGTTGAAGGAGACGATTGATAGGATGAGGTTTGATATGGATGAGATGCGGAATGCGGCTGTTGGTGGGGTGGTGGGGTATGGTGTTCCGGGGAGTGCGCCGGGGAGTGTTAGTAAGAGTTTGGGTGCGGAGATGTTGGGGAAGATGAAGTGGTTGGGCGAGGAGGGGCAAGATGAGGCGGAGGTTGGGGATGTTGCTGCGGAGGGAGAGGGGGAGGATGATACGGAGGGTGAGGAGGAGGAGGAGATTCAGACGATTATTACGAGGAAGAAGAGGGTTTGTCTTTTTTTCTTTTTTTCTTTTCTTTTTAGGGGGAAGATGCTGATGACTTTTTTCTGTAGAAAGTCGCAAGCCGCGCAAACGCACAAAATTTCGAAAGGCGAGAATTCGAAGAAGCGAAAGATTATTCGGACAGTTGCACGCAATATGATCCTGTCCTCTTTGCCGTGTCACATTCTACGCAGACGGACCCGGAGCCTAAAATCCTCACTGTGTCGTTCAGCACGCAGACTGAGGACGTGCCTACCCGGATATTCGCCGTTCAGACGGAGTCTAGGCGTACGGCTGAGATGGAGATTCAGACGGACGATATCGTCATTCTGAACGAAGTTTCGTCTGTGGAAGGCACCACCTCTTCGTCGTCTCCTGAACAACGTTCTCGATCCCCTTCACCCCTCCCCTCATCTTCATCCTCCTCCTCAATGACCATCATCCCCGGCACACCTAAACCCCATGCCAAACAGCTCCTCGAAGACCAACCGCCCGCCTACGGGGACATCACCACCTCTGACCAACAACAAGACAGGGAACGCCGGATCGCCGCTGAGATTTTACAAGAGTGGCATCAAGGCGTGAAGATCCCTTTCCAGCCTGTTGAAGGTGGGATTTCGGAGGAGGCCGCGAGGGAGTGGCAGGCCCTGAAGGAGGAGTTGGGCGTGCAGTGTGCGGTTATTGATAAGATTGTTGCGTCTTCTGAACGGGCTTCTTCTTCGAGGAAGGATCAGAAGAGGCGAAGCAAGTTTTATAATATCTATAACACTTACGTTTATGGCGGCGGCGACAAATCCTCCTCCTCAAACTCCTACAACTCCGTGACGATTGGGATGGCGGGACAAGCGTTGATGGTTGTGGGCGTATCGGCGTTGGCGATGCTCGTGATGAGCCCGTACATGGTCCCGCACTATTCTGTTCCTGGGGGCGCGACGTATTACGATCGGACCGCGTGGCATAGTTTTAATTCAATGCAGGCTGCTGGGGAGGGTTTTTCGCCTGATGGGACTGCTGCTGTTTGGAATTTCCTTGGGAGGGTTGGGGGTGGGGCTGCTAGGATTGCTAGAGGGTGGCCGACATAGTTGGAAGGGGAGGAGAGGAGAGGAGGGAGGAAGAGATAGACGATGAAGATACCCTACACGATACCCCCTTCGATTTCTTGACGACTCAGCCTACGCAATTAATCGACCAACCCGGACCCATCCACGATTTCATTCAAGTGAATAATTATGCATCATCTTTCCCTCCTTCGTCTTCGTCCTTCTCCCTCCTCATCATTCGAACTTTCTTGTTCGCCATGCACATCCTTCCCTTCCTCTCACACTCATATTTACTGATAGGCTTCGAAATTACTTATAGGCTCTAGGACGCACCGCTGCACCACTCACTCACTCACTTACAAGATTCATGCACTCTTTTCTTACTTATTCCCCACTATGGCCCCCTTCCTTACTCGTGCACCACGCTCATTAATATTTGCTTGCAAACTTGATGCTGTATGTATTCTATTGTATGTACACATTCGAATGTGGCGTTTGACTAGCTGATACTAATATCCTGCAATTAATGACTCGCTCTCTAGATCTTTGACAAATCTGACAGAGAGAGGGGATTATGCTTGGATATCCATACTGAGGACAAAGTTAACTGTCTGTCCCTTACACTACTGCTGTCCAAAGAGTCGGTTGGAAAGCGCTAGCACCTTAAGCCTTTATCCGCCTTCCCCAGATATCTTGCCTCAACAAGTCAAACCGCCACCCAAGACATCTTCGTAGTCCCATGCCACCATTGGCTCCCCTGCACGGGCCTCACGTTCTTCAACACGCATTAGAGGAGATGATGGCTGGGTCCAGTCTCTCAAATATTGCCCACTGCGAGCTGTCCGTTTGGTAGCCATGCGTAGAATTGAGTCCATGAGACCGTAGCGGTCGTACTGCCAGGAGCCTAAAACTGAGTGAGCCTCCGGAGATGAAGTATTTGAATATTCTGTAGCTGATAGATAGAGCTCGGAGAAAGAAAACTGGATGAATTTGATCCGGTATCGAGGTCATACGCCGATCCCTTTTACCAAAATTTTCAAAGCCAGATTTCAGAGTCGACCTCTTCTTGTTCGGTGCCGCGACTCAGTACTATGCGTATCTCCTAACTTGAAGGCTCCTCCGACACGTTGATCCCCATCCTGTCGTCTGCTTTCTGAACCAGAGTTTATTCTATTCAACTAAGTTTCGCAAAGACATCGAAGAATCACCCTGAGACTCAAGTATCTCTAGGCAAGTATGTTCAACAGATGCAACCACTTGCTGAACGTCTTCTGAAGTTTTGTTTATTCAACTGAACCCGACCTCAAGGTTTCCGCACAACAACCATACCATGCCTCTCGCCACACCAACATCGAATCCAGTCGAAGAAAAAGTCCAAAACCACATCTTCAACACCGTAAACGACCACTGGGGAATAAGCCAATTCTCCAAAACCAGCCTCTCCCTCCCCATTTCCCACATCCACTTCATCGCCCACCCAAACGAGGACAACTCAGGTAGCGACGGGCAACAACCCACCAACCACTGGACCATGTACCTCGAAACATCACCGAGCTCCTCGGTCCACGTTGACGTCGCTCCAGACGATAACGATGTTGCGATGGTTATGCTTGACACGGAACGGGTCAATTATGACGCCTACAACGTCTTTCACAAGTCGCTTCCTGTGATTGGTGAGGGGTGTAATGTTGCGACGGTTCTAGATGTCTTGATCACGAAGAAAAGAGATGTGTATAGGTTTGCTCCGGTGGGTGAAGGATGTCGGTACTGGCTCTCCATCGTTGTACTAGATCTGGTGGATGCTGGATTGGTGAATCGGGGAGACGCTCAAGAGGCCATTGATGGGCTCGGGGTGTATTGGTCTTTTCCTCCTGGCACTGGCTCGTTCGCCCGAGAAATTGCACGGGGTTCTTTCTAGTAGTTTTTTTCTGGTGATGAATGTACTTCAAAAGCTCGCAACGAGGAACCTAAATTTCGAACGTGTGCGCGTATGCATATGACAGAAATCAAAGTAGACGCACCCTCATATCATATCAAAGTCGAAGATACGTGATCCCAAACCTCCTCCGATTCAACGCCTGCAACCGTGCACAATCCTCCGTATGACACGCGTTAGCGAAAAACCCAATGACCGCCATCTTCAATTGCTTGACGGGGCAATCCTCGGCCGATAACCACCTCGACTCAACCATATCCGCCACTCTCCCGTCCTGGGCAGAGATGCATCCCCATAGCTTGATGGTGCTGAGATTCGGACAGAGCGTCTCGGTATTGGTCTCCTCCGCCGGCACATTGTCCCCACTATGCAGAACCTTTTCTGCGAAGGTGGTATGCGTCAACCGCCTCAACACCTCTTCCGTCACACATAAATGCTTTTGATGATCTTCCGTGATAGACAGCGAATCCAACCATGTTGATATCTGCGGATGTGCAAGGCACTCCAGCATCTCCTCCGCGGAGATATCGCATTCTTGTATGATAAAGTGTTTGACGGTGCACACAGAACGAAGGAGGAACGCAAGGAACTGGGATTGTGGCCAGTGAATGATGTGTACGGGGGTAATGTTGGGGAAGGACCCGTGGACCTCAGAGAGCGAAAGATCATTCAAAGCTGGTAGTGTGAGCTTGTCAAAGAGAATTCCGAGGTCGCCTGCCGTGCTTAGATGGAGACGTTGTAGATTGTTGTGAACAATTGGGTCAGAGCCGTTTGTGAATGTATCTTGAACGGGAAGAATGAGCGTCAGCTCTAAAGATGTGAGCTGAGGGCAGGATGTGATGATGCGGAGACCCTCAGTCATCGATATGATGTGGCCCAGCCAAAAGTGCGTGAGCTGCGCCCAGGGAAAGGTGAGCGTCGTGAACGGCTTCTGGCTCAGCCAACTGACGGAATGAAGCCGTGGTGCGGAGAGCATCGTGGATGTGATGCGATCCACGTCGTCCTGTTCCAACCAGTAACTTTTCTCCAAGTATAATTCTTCGAGCAAGGGGAACGAGGTGTCCTTGGGCAATGAAGCGAACCCGGTTTTCTCCGACCATGCATCTTTGTATCGTATACGGACTTTCTGCCATCGGGCGTGATGGGGGATGAAGACCTCGAACATGGACGAAACTACTGAATCGATTGGATCCTCGGAATCAGGTTCGGTGGTAAGTATGGTGGGAAGAGTGTAGTCAATCCCAGCGCGACTGCTGCGGAGGAATGGATCTCGCTCTTCGATAGAAATTGAAAGAGGACAGGAACCAGAATGCTCCAACCATGCTTCGACGACTCTTTTGTCGGGGTAACACACTCCCTTTTGGATCTCGACTGAAATCGAAGCCCATAGCTCGGGTGTGCCCAGTGCGATGTTCTTCCAGGCGATACAAACGCCGGTAAGAACATTCGGAGACACATACGTTGCTGTTCGACGGCGAGGTCTGTCAACATCCCAGAAGAGGAATATGAGACGAATGATCTCTGGAGGAACCTTGCGTATCGGCGAGAGTTGGTCCCGGTGTAGGGCCAACTGCTTTGAGATATTTTGATAATCATCCGAAAGCTGCCGCAGTTCTCGTCGGTTCTGCTCGATGTCACGTTTGACATCGTCGGAAGGTTCAGGCTGAGGATAGTTATCAGAATATGTGACGTCCTCGTCCTCCAATCCACCTAGACAATGGAGTTCGCCTTCTACATTCATCATTCGTTCGTCGATATCTCCAAGGAGAGCCTCTTCATGTTTTATGACTTGGGGCAGCGAACCTTTGTCCACAGTGGTGCTCAATGAAGCCAACCATGCGTGTGCCTCGTTTCGCTGCTTCGTCAGAGTTTTCAATGCCTCCAAAGCTATAGCTGCCTCAGCTTCAATTTCGACGACAATCTGCTGGTGGTGTGCGATGATGCCTTCTAGTTGTGCTCGGCCTTCTTCGGTGAGGGCACCATTCACCCCCATGGGACCCAAAAAATGGTTCACGTTCATACTTGGCAGCGCAGATTTCAATTGGTGAATGATACAAAACGATAGCTTCGATCGCAGTTGGTTCTTGAATCTTGGTTATGGTGACGTCGGTGCCTGAGTGACACCTGTGACCGCGTCTTTCCAGGTCTTTCCTCTCAGCCTCATCACTCATGGCGAGCCCGACAACATGCTTTTGTTAAGAGGTCCTCCGTGTTGAAATCGAATCAGCAAGCCTAGACTCTTCGTGTGATCAAGACAAGAAAGAGAATAATATTCCGGTTGTCTCTGTGGGGTCCAGAGGCAAACAGATGATTAGCTACAATACATGTCGTCGTATATATACTGTAAGCTACGAAATATAAGGGGTAAAGGTAAAACACCCCTAATGATGCACGCAAACGATCAATTGAAGGAATCACCTGAAATCCAACTGAAATCCGAAGATCGGGTGCATTGCGCATGCTCGTAAAGCTCCCAACACTCCGTGAACGTTGGAATTATGTATGACCAAGGGGGTTTCGGGATTTGAACCCGATATACCAGGCCGGTTAGTTATAAGTCCAGCCAACTGGTCATAAAAATCTTTTCGACCTGGTTAATTATCATTTATCTGCCCCAAGGGGGTGTCGGGATCATAATCCCGGACCGGGGGCCGGTTGGTTGGTAGGGCCATCAGGCCGTTAAAAAAAAATTGGAAGCTCAAAAATTTTGGCCCAAAACAATTATAGGTGGCCTTCCTGGTGGATAAATTATACATGATAGATAATAGAAAGCCTCAAGATGTGCTAAATGCCTCAGGATGCGCCAAAACACACCACTGAGACTGCTTACATAAGACAATAATAACATTGGACCATTGATAACTTTCATTAGTGTGGCAACCGTTACAGCGAGGAAACATGCGAAAAATGAAAATGTAAGGTTGTCGATTGGAGGATTGCTTTTGAGGATCCCGAGCAGAGCTGACCACCAGCAATGTGATCCAGTGGGATGTGAAACTGTGTGGTCAAGTAAACCCACTTTCTGTTAGGGTTTCAATGTAAAACATACTTACATCTTCATGTCAAACCATTCTGATATCACCTCATTTGTATTTACCTTGTGCAGGTGCCCATGCATTGGGTCTGCAATGCATGTTCAACGTTGAGAGGCACGAGGACAGGAAGACAGCGGTGATGTCATATTTCCTAAAATAGACATGTGCCTGATTACGTTGGATGGTTGGTTCAGCCCAGCGCTCACTACCAAAAAAATCGACCCTAGGTCTTTTTTTTATATCCCGACACCCCCTTGATCTGCCCTGTAAAGCCTAAATTCATGACTGGGTGGCCACACACAATGCTCTGAAGGAAGAAAAGGCTATGAAATGGCAACAAGAGACCTTATACATCAAATTTAGTATTCTATGCAAATTCTACATGTCAGATAATAGCCAGATACTTAGTCCCAGTACAATTGACAGAACTCCTTCCAGGTACAAAACATGTGGAAGCAACTGTCAGTGAGTGTGAAACCGAAGGGCGAATTGGGACTTCTCGACGAAGGCGTGAGTGCGAGATAGCGGCAGAGAATATCCGGGGTACGTGAGAGAGAGAAAGTAACGTGGTGCCGCAAGGCGTCACCACGTTGAGATTATCCTGTGACCCAGGAATTGGGGCGTGGTCACCCGGCGCAGGACTCTTGTATCCTGGAGGGGAGGCATAAGGCTGCCTAGCTGTACAGAAAAGGGGTGACTCCATCCACATGTAATATATGATGTGGTTGCAAAGTGAGTTTATTATTATGTACCTGGAGCTACATATACAGAGTAAACATGGGTAAATATGATGGTCCTAGGTTACACAAGAAGGGAAGTAGAGTATACTAGCATGCCGTTACAAAGCCCCCCTGTGAGATAGGAGCATCGTCCGCAGTAGGAAGGTTTCTTGACAAGGTTCCCAATTTCCGTAAATTGGTCTCCTTATGTTCCTACCTGGGTTTTAGTCTCGATCTACCAGTTTGTCCCGTTATTACACTCCGAGCAGTCCGAGAATTCACTCACATCGTAAACCATCCTAGTTCGGTCGTTATACCGTAGTGCAATCCCAAGGAGGGCGGTGACGGCAAATTTAGCAGTGAATGGAGATTAGTGCTTGGAAGTCCAGTCTCAAGACTGAAAAAAGACTGAGACTGGACTGAACCAAGACTGCCCAAGACCGGAAATTCCCAGGACCATCGAAGACCGCAACCGCGGTCCAGTCTTTGGTCTCTCACAATTTCGGAAATTTGAAGACCATGAAGACCGACAAAAAACCGGTCTAACCGGTCTCAACCGGAACTCATAACCAAACACAAAACACAAACACAACTCATAACCAAACACAACTTTCCTCCTCCTACCACCACCCTCCCTGTTACCATCACCACCCTTTGTGACGACCACTTTGCATCGTGAGCACCCCCGATGGGCTAAACGACCCGTATGCTCACACATCGACCACCACCTCACACGCTGGAGGCTCAGCAACGACACCCATGGCCACGGCGCGCCACATCATCCTCCACAACGACGCCCCCCCCCCTGCCAGACATCACCTACGGCCACCACCACCCACACCACCAACCACAATGGCAACAACAAACACCTGCCATGCACGACTGTCGTCAACTCTCACACCCACCTCACACCAACCACAACAACAACAACGAGCGCCTGCTACGTCGACAGCGCATGGAGAAGACTTCCCTCGCCCTCTGCCGCTTTTGGCAATGACAAGCGCACGACAACGGCCACGCAATGACGATGGAGATAGGTGGATGACGATGACGTGACATGGCAGCAATGACGGATGACGGAGGACAATGCAAAGAATAGTGTTCGCAAGTTCAGTTCAGTCCGGTTTTTTGCCCCCAAAACGCGCAACCGTGGACCGCAACCGGTCTAGGACCGACCCAGATATTGAGGGAACCGAACCGAACCACTTAGGACCGGTCTATTTCGGTCTATGGAGCCGGTTCAGACCGATCCAGACCGGTTTTTTTGCGTATAATTTATTATACCAATATAAACCATTTGTATCTTGACTATTATTACTCTGAAAAATAAACGGGTTATATGAAATAGTAAAGCATGTAAATACCCGTCATTCTACTAATTTCGAAGAGATTTAATGAAGATTTGACATAGCTATGACTGAAACCGAATTACATCTCGTAGAGACTCGGGTGAAATATGGATTTGGTTATATCTTTCTCAATTCTTAACCGTTTTTGATGAAACAAAAACCCAATAAAAGGTAATAAATGTGGTTACAAGGGTATGTAACGCACGTGACCGTTTAACCGGTTGCAATTGATTAAAACCGGTCTTTGAACGGTTTTAATATATTTTCGAAATGAGGCAACCGGCAACCGGACCAACCCCAAATTGGGGCAACTGCAACCGAAAAAAAGACTGGACCATAGACCGGTTCAGTTCGGTCCACCGGTTTTTTGCGGTCCTATGGACTGAACCTTTAAACACTAGCAAAGAATGGCGACGGCTGACAACGGACAGCAACAAGGAAGTGCGAGTGCTCCCCCCACCCCCCTCATGTAGTACTACAGTGTATTTAGTCAATTATATACATGTTCTCCCCATGTCATAGCTCCGAGACCGGTTGAAGACCAGTTGTCAACCAGTTCAGACTGAAACTGGTTGAGACCGGTCTTTCAACCATAAAAAACCGACCAAAACCACACTGAACCGGTTGATGTCGGTTCAGTCCGGTTTTTCATGGTTCTTCAACCTGCAAGGACCGGTCCCAGTCCCGGTCTTGTCAAATTTTGACAAAAGACCGGACTGGACTGGACTTCCAAGCACTAATGGAGATCTTGTGGTTAATGTAGGCCCAGTAGCTGCCATGAGCCAAGGTAATAAAGTGCTAGGAGTCAGTTCTGAGGACAGTACTGGAGGAGGTAACACCATTAGGTTGATTTGATGCATTGCTAGAAAGGGGCCACATAAAGATAATCTTTGCGCCATGAGGCCGTGGGGTGTTGAAAGGTAATACTGTCACAATCGGAATAAGTGAGTTTAGTGGTCGGAGTGGAACTTGAGCTGTCTTGGAGATGTGACCAAGTAATAACAGGTGAAGGGCTTGATGAGGAAGATGAACGGGTGACAATTTGGGGCAGCAATAGGGTGAACGTTCTTCATAGTACATTTGGACAGATCACCTTCGAGGATTTGCAGGTTGAACGGAAGCTTGAAGGCTGCGTTGGTGAGGAGAGCGCTGGTCGCATCGACATCACCCTGAAGATAAAGATTGACAATGTTTACGCGAAGAGCATCATTCTCCATTATGAGATTTGTTCGGCAGGGAGTGAATCATAGGAAGTTTGATTATGAGTGAGTTGGTTGAATCCTGGTCCCGTTCCACTCCAGTGGAATAGCACCATATACCCATAGTCCGTCTGAGGTTTCAGGCGAGTTGGCAGATACAGTTTCTTCTAGTGTTTGAAAGTTAGGTTAGTTAACCGGAAAATAACCGGAAAATAACTGGACCTAACTGCAACACTAACCTAACCGCGGTTAGGGTTAGTTGATTTTGGAAATGGAATAACCGGTTATTTTGCAGTTAACTAACTGTTAACTAACCGGTTATAACCAGCCCTATTATACACCTTCAAAACGCACTTTAGAACGTCGAAAATGCTTAAAATTTGACTAAGTTACAGTCAAATCTCTAAAATATCACTCAAATGTGTAGACTTTCAAGGATAATTGCATAAATATGTCAATTCTTCACCGATTTTAGCGTTCTTGGGCTCGTTTTAAAGCTAGAATATGCAGAAATAATATCTATTAAGATACATATGAGCATATTTGCCTTGTTATAACCGATTCTTTATTTTTCGGTCCTAACCGGTTAGTAACTGCAAATAACTGACCGTAACCGGTTAGTTGCGGTCTGGTTAGGTTATTTTAGGTTTCGGGACAAAGGCTAACCGGTCTCGGTCTCGGTTAGAGCCCCTGGGCACCCAATAACCTAACCTAACCGGACTTTCGAACACTAGTTTCTTCTGTCTGAACCATGGAATCCCTGAAGAGTGTGTTGGGTGGAATTAAGGAATTCATTGTCTCCACAACAAGGTCTTCTTCCCTTGGCTGAACTTTGTCGTTCCACCACGCCATACAAGGAAACATGGCTGAGTTTGGCACCACGAGGTCAGGTAGGGTCCTTTTGGCTACTAAGGCCTTTGAACTAGTATCAGCGCTTTTGGTAGTGGATTCCCATCCTGAGCCTCGAGCAGCAAGCTGGCCTATCGCGCTTTTACACAGGCCCTTGGTTCTCTCGAGGTGGTCTTCGGCAGATTTCTTGGTAGTACCAGCACCCAGATAGCAGTCGTTGTTGCTGTTGCCATCTTCACCTGAGGCTATAGGAGACTTCAAGAAGGGTGGTCCTGGTATGGGAAGGTGAGTTTCCTTCGTCATGATTGCAGTCTCAAGCTCAGAACTTTCATTGGAACTAGGTTGGATATGCCACTCTTTGGTTAAGCTCTCCAGAGTCTCTTTGAGACGTGGTTGTTCACAATCATTCGAATTCGCTATACGTTCGTCGGAAACCTTGATCAGAGGTTGAGGGAACAGAACTCGATAACCCTCCTCTTGATTGTACAAGGCACGAGGTTGACGATTGATATAATCTTTCATGTACCCATCCAGGAGGGTTCTAATCCAGAGGGATTTCTCATCAGTTCTGTTTCATCGCCTCGGTTCACACAGGGTTGAGGCAAGATGAACTAGATCCGCCATCTTTACTGGAGGGAACTCAATCTCTGATCGGGGCTGGGTCCATTCTGAGCCATTGAAGGTTAAAAAGCAGCGAATAGGTGTAGCAATTGTCAATTCAAGAGTGGCGAGTTGTATGCGCTCAGGGGACCAAGCTCTTTGCGCTATAACGTGGTTGAGGCCCACATTCAGATACTGTTGGGTTTGCTGCTCCTCTGGGTCATCCATCCAATAGTCATTAGCTCCTTTCTCCATCACATCAGAATCCAGCAACCAGTTTGGGACTCTTCCTTGATTCAGGAATTGTTCGTGACTTTGCAAAAACTTCATAAACCTAGGAGTCACCATGGGATGGTTTCCAGTATTCCACAAGGCTCTCCTCACTGCACCGAAGAAATGAAGGTTTTCAAGTATTTTGCATGGAGTATTTCTGTGTTTTCTTCCGGGACCAAAGAGTGAGGCTTTGAAGTTCCTCCAACTATCCATGGCAGGTTCGTACTTGGGACTAATGCACGGATCGCCTGCAGCAAGTGAGTCTAATAGTGTTTCTCTACTCTTGCTAGGTTTTGAATCAAGGTAATAGCACCTCTTTCAATGTTCCGATGGACTACCAAGGCTATGATCAAGCCTTCTGAGGTAAATTGGTCAGGTGGGAAGGGTCTGAGTGGTGGTCTGTGCCTGGAAGTTATCAAGTTCATGGACGTCCTTGGTCTATATTCCGTTGGTAGAACTTGATTCTGTGAGTAACAGACTGAAGAATGGTAGCGGCTGTTGTACAAATGAGTCAAGACATGGATCCAATTTGATTAGCTTTCCACTCGTCCTTCCCTTTGCGAGAGGTGAGCAGTCGCAGGTGCCACAAGGTTGCTGCAACTTGAATTTACTAATTTCTGCCATGCTGTACTATTAGTAGTCCCAAGTCTGTCTTGATCTGAGAAAGTAATCTCAAGCAACCCAAATACGTTGACGACCCTTTCGACATAGGATCTAACGAACTCCTCTAGTTCTCTTAAGCTTGCCTGTGGTATTATAGCCATGGCTAACATCACCATCGGGGTAGGTTGTGATGGAGTATGTGAGGGTGGTAGAGCGCCCAGCTTCCAGTCTTGGTAGTTGATGTGGTGAATATCGTGAATCAAGTTGTAAGTTACAACATTCTTATATTCAGACTGACAGGGAAACCATTCCTGTAATCACACTATAAAGCAGCGGGGTCCTGGGAGTGTACTCTCATATGGAGATCCATGCATCCTAAGAAATATGCAACTATCTTCTGACCTGGTCATACAGAAAAACAATTCGGGTAATTGTGCTACAAGGCGGCGGAGTTCCGTATGTGTCCTCCTGCACTGGGGTCCAAGTATCCAATATAGTGCGGTATGATAGTTCATGGGTATTGTGGTTTTCTCATGGGATTGCGCTATAGTGTCTTGAGGGGTGAAACTATGTTCATCCGCTTTATAACCGTCCATAATTTTTTTGCGGATCAACCAGTCTACAGATATGTGTAGTCACCGTCGTCTTGCACAATCTTCGTACAGTGATGATTTGGGATATTTTGCTCCTAACCAGTGAGTCCGAGGGTTTGCCTTGAGGGACAGAGAGATATCCTCAAGGTTATCCATGATTGCTAGTGCTTGGAAGTCTGGTCCCAAGACTGCAAAAAGACCGAGACTGAACCGGACCCAGACCGCCTAGGACCGCAAATTCGCAGGACCGTCAAAGACCGCAACCGCGGTCCGGTCTTCGGTCCCTCAGGATTTTCGAAAATTCAAGACCGACAAAAGACCAGTTTAACCAGTCTCAACCGGTCTTTGCAGTCAGAAAAGTTACCAAAGTATGTACTGTAGTCTACATATATTTATGTAACATTTCGACCTCAGCATTCATGAAATCGACAGAAATCACCATTCGGAGCGGAGTTTGAATGTGTCTGTCACGTTGTCATCACCATTGATTGAGTTTCTCAGCTCCTACTCTCACCACCTCCCTCTCGACACAACGGACACGCCAAAATTGCATCAAAAAGGTATGGAGTCAGTTTTAAATGTTTTCTTATGCTAATTCTCGTATTTTAACACCCCAGGCACTCACATTCCTTGCCAGCAGCCACCACACAGTCTCTCCTCCAACAAGGGTTTTTTCGCATCACTGAAGGGTTCTAGTGGGAGTTTGTGGGTTTGGGATGGCATAGAAAGATACAAGAGAAGATGCATGGAGTTGGAGACCCACCAGGTGTGTGAAGAGGCGAACCATAAGTGGTTCGTCTCTCGATTCCCTCACTCCCCTTCACGGCCACCTCCTGATGACAATGTTGCATCAGGATCAACATGACGTCTACGCACCCCACGCACACTGACCAATGCCTGTCGTTTCGAACACGAGCCCACTGTTTTGGGTGTGAGCCCGTCGTTTCGAGTGTGACCCCATTGTCTCAAACACGAGACCGTCATTTCAATGTGAGCCCATTGTTTCCAACGTGAGCCCATCGCTTTGAACGTGACGTGAGCCTATCGCTTTGAACATGAGCCTGTCGCTTCGAATGTGAGCCTATCGCTTCGAACATGAGCCTATCACTTCAAGCGTGAGCACGTCGAGTCCATCATTTTGACCCATGGACAACAGCCACCTGACTCACCATGACCATGAACACAAGCAAACCATGGAGTACAGGCCACGTCAACAGTAGGTACAATGTACAATTCGATTATAAATATATATATAATACCATGTACAAGACCGGTCTGGGACCGGTTGCAAACTGGTCTGAACCGTAACTGGTTCAGACCGGTCTTTCAACCGTAAAAAACTGACCAAAACCGCACTGAACCGGTTGACACCGGTTCAGTCCAGTTTTTTGTAGTCCTTCAACCTGTGAGGACCAGTCCAGGTCTCGGTCTTGTCAAATTTGGACAAAAGACTGGACTGGACTGGACTTCCAAGCACTAATGATTGCATCATTCACCACCCCAGCTGAGTTCGCGATTCCGCCGTGGCTCTCGCTTATAGTCTTTATCTGGGCTTCGCGCGTCCTTTCAGCTGCAAGCTCCCATCTAATACAAATTTTTAGGACCATCTCTTCCAGAACACTTTTCCGCTGTACGACATAGGATGTAGGTTTAGGCATCACGGTCGGATGGGCCCATAGAGGATGGAAATCAATAGAGTTTGCGTGATTTCGTACAATATTCTTAGTTGGAGCATTGGATTCTAGCAGTACAATCCCATCCATGTTGTCATCAAATGACATGATCGTATATCGAGCCTTCCATACAGGTCTCTCTGCTCATTCATGACGATTCAATTGCAAGCACGTTCTTCATTCAGTTAAGCGCCTTGTACCATGCGTGATTCTGGGGCTATGGCAAGCAGGGATAATTTCTCGTCCAGTAGTTGCTGCTTGAAGTACCATCCCAAGTTTAGGGCAAGTGACAGATGCTGCTCCCCATACTGCTGCTCGAGGATGGGAACTTCCATTAACTCGCGCGGAACAGGGGCAGCATGACCGATCCATGTTAGAGAGATTACCTCTTGTTCAATTTGGCTTACAATCCTAGGGTTTGGGTAAGTGACTAGTGCAGCCCCCCAGCCTGCCACTCGATAATTGACGTTTTCGTCATATAGCAGAATTTGTAACAGCTGTGAAAGAGGATTGATCATAGAGCAAACCCGACTTGCTCGGCGTACAGCGATAGTCACAGCCCCCCATGCTGCCACTCGACGATTGGCACATCCGTGAACTCGCGCCCCAACTAGTAGGGCAGCGTATTCCACAAGATCCTCTTTCAGGCCAAGGGTTTCGTATTCTCTAGCGTCATAATTACTTCCAGTCGATCTCATCGCCATTCTACTCCAGTAGGTGACCACTTGGATAGTGTTTTCAGGCCTAGTAGCCCCCCATTCGTTCGATGGTTCGATTTCAAGCTGACTCCTGCAAAGTCCAAATGTGACGAACAATAGGAATGGAGTCAGGTCTTCTGGTATGATTCTACCAGGGGTCGTAGATGCATTCCTGAGTTCCAGAGGCAATTCTGTCAACTGACGCAGTCTCAAAGCCTGGCTCTGTAAAGTCAGCCAAGCGAATTCAGCTGAAGGGTTGAGGAGGGGTAACACCAGCCATGCTCTTGATAGTGTTGGCGTAACGTCTGACTGTCGAGACATGAGGGATTCATCGAGCATAGGTCTTGGGCTCTCTAGAAATGCCCCTGGGCTGGTAGACGGCTCAATTACCCCAGCTTCAATCTGAATCCCATGCTGTCGACCAGTGCTTTCTCCCTTTGCGAATGAGGTACCACACACTTCTAAGCGTCCTATGTGATGGCCAGTAGCTCTGAAAGTTGCTGCATTTCTGCGCAATCTCTCTGATAACCACCGACGATCCTCCTCAGGAGTCCCGAGATCAAGACTTACTGTCCTGTCCATGACACCACTTAACGAATCTTTCATATCCACTAATGTCTTAGGTTCTCGAAATTCGTCATGCTTGCCTTCGAAGCCACCATCACAGTGCTCAGGAGCCTCCGCCGTTCGATCATTCATGGTTGCTAAACCTTCAATATTGCTGGTATAGTTGATCTTAATGCCTCGATGTCTTGCAGGAAACTAATAACTTCGTCTGCTCTTACACATCGAAGGGGCAGATTAGTATGGGTTATGGCAGTCTTCTCCGCTATCCCTTCGTCTATAACATCGAAAGTCATGCAAACCGCTGCGTTTTGCGAGGGATAGGGATGGTTCAGGGCATCATCCAAGGCTCTCTCTCTTGCATGTTCTTTCTTGCTAACTTGCTTCAGTTTTGTAGGGCTTACTGCCTTCTCATGGACAAATGTTTGCATTATAGCTGACACAGCTTGAATTACGAGTCCTAGATGGTTACACTGGACCAAGGTTGCAAGTATTATGTGCCCCGTGAACCATCCTGTTAACTCTCCGCTGTATCTGGTAGTGTATCCAGAGATGCCTTGTTCATAAGTAGTTTCGAAGTCCATTCTCAATGAAAGAGGAAGATTCGATTTTTCTGCTGCGTAGACTTCGGACCCAGACTTGATGATCAATTCATCCCCTCTCGTGCGACACCGTAACCTCCTTCTTACACCCTCTTGGAAACAAGATATACTTGTCAAACGCTTTCCATACCCTTCCAGGAGGAAGACGATGAAGGCTTCGAGGTCTACCCAAGCTTTGATTAGTGGGACGAGTCGAGCTCTAGTTTCCCTGGATTTCATCCATGAGGGTGTTGGTCGACTCTTAGCAAGGGGGAGTTCTCGCCCCAGTTCACATACTCGCTTCCTTAAACTCAGCAGGAAGTGTTTGAGAGTTACCCGGGGGGTGTTTAGTTCCTTAACCTTCCCTTCAAGATGATCAGGGCGTATTTGGAGGATTCCTCTTTCGAGTAATAGTGGAATTTGAGCAGGATTCTCACACGAATTCGCAGCGGGTGTTTCGTGCTTGGTAGCAGTGAGCATCTCTGCTGAGCACTCCGACGACCACTAGTGGCTACCACTGTTTATCATAATACCAAGGCATATGCCTAGAGCTAAATATCTATATCTCAAGCATAATTATGAAAGGCCTTTCATTTGACTTGCTTATGTCTCTCATTCATTTAAATGCTGGGCTTCACTCATAAGTTGTAGGAGAATTACCCTTGTGAATTTCATAAAGGTGGCTGGCAATTTCATTGCAAATTTTCATACTTATCTCTCAGTATTTCATTCTGAATTTCATATTTATCCCCACTGCTTTCATTGCGACTTTTCATTACTCAGCTCTCAATATTTCATTCTGAATTTCAGATTTATCCCCACTGCTTTCATTGCGACTTTTCATTATTCAGCTGACAGAATTTCATTCTGAATTTCATATTTA